TCTAGCATAGCATATAGAAAGAAAAAACAAGAGAAGGTGATGGGCATAGAGTTAACTTTTCCTAATGTGCTACGTCTGCTTTTATATGCTAAGTTTTCTATAGCTAGTTTATATATCACTTGTATAATAAAAGTAATACAAATAATAATAACTATGGGGAAAATAATAGCCTCCCAGCAATGGTTCTGGCTCTTGTAAATACGGGTGTTTATTATATACACAAAGTTTATTCCTCCTTGAAGGCATATCCAGTGAATTCTCAGTCCCCTAGGGGAGAGCATGACTGCAGAGTGCCCTCCCCACCCTAAGCTCCCAGTTGCCCTGTATCAAGCCACTGGCTGCTGTATCAAACCAGGAGCCCAAGGAAATATAAGAATGAATGTATGAGTGGCCGCTTCTATGTCAGAACATGTATGTTTGAATATGTTTCTGATTCCATTTGATGTCAAATATTTTTCCTTTCAACATACATAATCAAAACTCCATTTTTATTTGTAGTTTTTTAGACAGTTTGCTTTTTATAGCATACATTATTTCATTTGATTTTAGAGATGGCGTGATTTAACAGAAGCAGCCAAGACTCAAATCCCAGAGCTACCATGTGTGAAACTCCCGTCTCTGAATCTCAGTTTCATTATCTGTTAGACAATGATAGACCTAGGATTGTTGTGAGGGTTAAATGAGAGGCCATTTAAAAATTTTAGAACATCATGAGATACAGAATCCCTCAATAAATGCTCAGGTTTCCCTTATTAAGATTTTTAACAAATAATCACAGTAATACAATGAGGTAAATAGGAAAAAAAAGTGTCCTCATTTTGGAGATATAGAAATGGCTCAGAAAAATTGCTCAAAATCATAGAACACTGAAAATGGAGGCTAGTCTCTTATGATCCTAATATCTGAGATTACATCTACTGCTTTCCAAAATTTTTTTAAATGAAAGTAGAAAACTAAAATATGTGAATAGCAAGAAACCAATGGCAATTTCCAGATTTTTGTGTGTG